GAAGGCGGGCTCCGGATCAGACCCGGCGGCAGAGGATCGCGGGAGGCTGGACGGAGGGGAGGAAACCCGACGGTGGTTTCTCAGGGGCTAGGAGCGAGGGGCTACTTCTCCGGGGGCGGGGCTGAGGAGCTGGTGCCCATTGCAGGAGGCGGTCTGGTTGCTGTGGCACAGTGATAACGTGTCTGCTTTCAAACCAGCTTTTCCCATTAAAATGCATGCCCCTTGTTCCATGAGGCTATGTTACAAATTGTCACCTCATTCCCTGCATGATAGGAGAGCGATCACATCTCTTCAAGTGTGAGTGTCTTAGGCTGAACATATTGAACCACCCCCAATTTCAAACAGTGATTTCTAAAGCCAGAAATGTCTGCTATTTTGGCATCCAGGAAACAATTTCACCATTCACACTAATACAGGTGTTCATGTGTAGTGTATCAATGTGTTATTAAATAATAACTGAATAAAATAATATTAAATAATTAAAAACAACATCCATGTTTTGATTGTTTTTTATTTGGACCTCAAGTATGTAGTCGGCCCCTGAACTGCTGTTTAATAGTTAATGCGGCCCTCGGGCTGAAAAGTTTGGAGACCCCTGATCTAAGTGATTGCAAATAGTGAACTATAAAGCCCAGAACTGGCTACAAAGAAATAAAAAGTTAAAATGCCACTAATACCTAACTTAACAAGGTAAATGAATTCAAAGCAAAGATTTCTCTCACTCCCTGCTCTGCCATCCTACTGACTGTATACTATTCAGCCAGAACCCTTCTCCAGCCCAATGCTCCTTTCTTTTCCCTTCAAATGGCATGGGTGTCATGAGCAGAGAAAAAGGGAGTACAAGTAATTCTGGGGTATTTGCCTTCTTCACTTACTGTCCATGTCTCTTTTGCAAGAATGAGCTCCAGGTGACAGTCAGGAGACAAAAAGTGAAGGGACAGAAAAACACTATTGTTTGTATTTTTAAATGTAGATTTCTCACTTTTTTCATCTTCCTGCCCAAGAAAGGCCTCTTAACCACATGTGCTATTATTTGATTTTGTTTACACCTGGCTGAAATATCTCTCTTACTTCTTTCTGAGGAACTATTTTGCATCTGCTTTTCTTGGAACATATGACTAATGTTGTAGAGTAGAATCCTATGACTTTACATACAATGTTGGCTTACACATTTTACCAGGACAATGATGGTCAGCAGATTATGAGCTTTAAAATGACACCTCACAAGGCATGCTATGCACACAATATATCATTATCTTGCAAATGAGGTGAGCATAAGGATACTGCCTGTCTCCATGATCAAATAATTTATTTTAAATCTTATTTGCTTGTGGTTGCTTTCTTTAACTTTTAATTTTCTTGAATCAGTGAATGCTTTTGTAAATGCGGCTTCCAGATAGTTCAACTGAGAAGAGGCAACTGTATATTGTACAAATAGGCAGATTTTTATTATTTCAAACCATTTTTACATTCTTAAAGGAACATATTTAACATTTTATCATGGAACATGGAAAGTAAAAATAAATATAAATGGTAATTTTTTTAAAAAAAATTGTATTTACAAAGAATTATATGGGAGTCCAGGAGTGAAGTATCTATCTACCTTTTTTGTAAGTATTAGGGAATACTGGAACATCCTATCAATTCTTTAATGTGGGCTGTAGAAGCTAAGATTACCAAGTCTGGGAGTTCTGAGGTTCCACTTCCTTGTCCCTTTGGTACCAAGATATAAAAAGTGCCCTGCAATTCAAAGGCTCCATGTTATGTTACATTGATTTGACATGGCATAACTTAAGATTGACTTACAGGAGTAGCATACGCCAGCACTGAGCTAGATCCAGAGCAAGAGAAGCAGCACCATCATCACCTCCTCTACTCCCATCCATCATGTCAGGGAAGCCCTTCATTGTCTTTGTTTTTACATTGAAAAGTGCCCAGGAAGGAAAGGAAAATGCCTGGGCATTAAAATGTTTCCATTGACCCCAAAGGAAATTTTGCTCAACGTTTTCCATGTGTCAGACATTTAGGGAATTTTCAGACTGGGATCAGGTTGAACTGAATTTTCTCTAAGCACCTGGGAACTCTAAAATCAGTTATTGTACCAGCAACTCTGTCCATTTCTCACTCACAATCCCCTGAGCTGTACCATTCCCAGAATCCCTACTCTTCAGAGTGTATAATACTTTCCAACAGAACTAAGAGGAAAAACTCACAGCAAACCTGCTGATATAGGATACACACCGAGTGTCTGGTTTGACTTTATCCCTCTGTTTAATTTAGAGGTTAGAAAAAACAAACCCTTTCCATGCTATTTTTATTCAGTTCCATGCAGACTGGGTCAGAGGACGCACACACACCACGCTCTCTCTTGGAAACATTACCCATACTGGTTTTGTTGTTACCTTAACCGAATATAAAGGCTGTAGTGATGGAAAGCACCTTTCTGCTCCTTGTGCATGGACACAAACCCAGTGACAATCTCTGCAACAACCTCACAGAGCACAGGAAGAGTCCAGAGTAGCTGGAGGGTGTGTTGGTTCAACCCCAGAAATCACACACTTTCTATTTGCAAATGCATAATGGAACCAATCCCACGATGTAGAACAAGGAGATTTGGTGCCCCTCTCCTCTTTCCCGGTACATACAGCTCCGTGCTTTCAAAGCACTTCACACGTATCCTTACACTCACACGTGAAATAGGTGCCTCCTTGCGTTTTGCTACAGCAATAGCCCAAGGAAGCCCTGAACTCATGTCCCAGCTGCAGGTCTTGTGGGAAGGCAAAGAATTAATGTTATTAACCAAAATATAACAGTAAACAATTTCACCACCATCTTTGTGAAAGGGCATTGCAATGGGCCAGGAATTGAATACATTGGTGCCCACTCCCCATCGCTAAACTAGCACCGAGTTAATCAGACTCAAGACTTGGTTAGGAGTTTATTGATGACTTTCCTCAAGGCGCCCTGCACCTCTGTGTTCCTCAGGCTGTAGATGAGGGGATTCAACAAGGGGATCAGCACAGTGTAAAAAACTGAGGCTATTTTGTCCGTGTCCAAGGAATAGCTGGAGGGGGGCCGTAAATACATGAAGAGTTCAGACCCATGAAACATGCCCACTGCGATCAAGTGGAAAGCGCAGGTGGAGAAGGCTTTGCGCCGGCCCTCGGCAGAGCGGATCTTCAAGGTTGTGGCAATGATATAGATGTAGGAGAGAAGGACAGTCACAATGCTTCCCACTAAAATGAAGCCACTCAAAGCAAATAACAAAATCTCACTGATGCTAGTGTCAGAGCAGGAGAGCGCCAGCAGCGGGGGCATGTCACAGAAGAAATGGTTGATGATGTTGGAATGGCAGAATGAGAGCCGGAATGTAAAACATGTTTGTATCATTGAATCCACAATCCCCACAGCATAGCACAAAGCCACCAGCAGGTGACAACGCTGCGTGGACATGGTGACCCTATACTGCAGGGGGTTACAGATGGCCACATAACGGTCATACGCCATCACAGCCAGCAAGACACACTCAATATCTTCAAAAGAGAAAAAGAAATACATTTGTGCAGCGCAGGCAGTGTAAGAAATGCTTTTCTGCTCAGCCAAGAAATTCTGCAGCATCTTGGGGGCTATTACTGTGGAACAGCAGAGATCACAGAAAGACAAATTTCTGAGGAAAAAGTACATGGGGGTGTGGAGTTGTGGGTCAATGGTGATTAATAAGATCATCCCCCCGTTCCAGACCAGGGTGGTAACATAAATCAGTAGGAACAATACAAACAGAGGGACCTGCAGCTGTGGACGATCTGTCAGACCTGAGAGAATGAACTCAGTCACCACCGAGTGATTTCCCTCTTCCATCTCCTAAGAGCCGACATCAGGCAGCTACAGGGAGGTGGGAGGATGGCTGGCTGGGAGAACTAATCTCTTTTCTGTAACGAAGTAAATGAAGAAAATGAAGATCAGTTTTTTAATGGGCACCAGTACAAAATTGGAGAAGAGCTTATTCCACAGAGCCAGATGTTCACAGCTGAACATTCCAGATGTTCCATACAATACACACTCTGTTCAAAAACAAGGACACACTCATCAGTCATTCCCCACTGATAGACTACTGCTCACTAATCAAAAGTAACTTGTGTCTTTGCCTTTGGACAATCCCGGTGAAACCCAGCTCAGTGTGACAAGATGATTTCTTAGCTCAGGACGGGGTAAGAGTAAATGAGTGTCAATCTTTCTACCCTCTTTGGGCAAGGGGAGCTTGGTGGCTCAGCGTGTTGGTTTGAGGTAAAGGTCGCTGTGCTAATGAAGCTTTTTGGCATCTGAAAATGGCATGTACATTCATCTCTACGAAAACTCAGAGACATAATGAAAATCATTGGCTTCGGAGACTATGTAATTGCCTGTTTTTTCAAACCAAAGAGCTCATTCCTTTAGCTGCAGGTGTAGGCGCTGTGCTGAGGCATTTAGTGCTGGAGCGCTTGAATTCAGACCCTGCTGATCACCCTTGTGTCTATTTGTGTGTGTGATTGAGATGCAGGACAACAGCACGTACCTGCTAAGAAGAGACAGACGTGGTGGTGTTTCCCCATCAACAGAAACTGACAATCTGGAGCATTCTGAAAGTTTTATACTGAGATCTGTGATCTACGGGGCATGTTCCCTGAAGCAAGTGGGAATACCTGAGCCCAGGGAGACACAACACCTAATTAATGTGCTCAGTGAACCAAAGCCACCTTTGGGGTAACTCATGCCTTGGGGGTTAATTTGACCTATTCCTTCCTACAGTGGTGTTAAAAGATGCAATTTCTGTCTCAGTTACGGAGTTTGAGTTTAGTGCTGTATTCCATCATGACATTTTCAGTGGAAATTGATACTAAGCAAAGTCAATTTACAAAGGATTTATTTGATTTGCTGTTTGTGGAGACCAAAATTTTTTTTGCTGAAAACTTAATAGATTGACTCGCAAATACTGCAGGGGTCCCTCAGATACCGCATCCCACCATGCTCTGCCATGGGCCAGCCTCCCATGGTAGACTTCAGCTCCTCTGATGCTCGATGGTCTCTCCTCTCTCTCAATTGCTTGGGAAGATTATCAGTGTCCCACAGCCCCAGTGTGGGGAGGACAGTTGGTTGGCATTTTGATGAAAAACTGAAAGTTAACATAGGAAATGTAACTGCATGAAAAAATAGATGAAATGAAAATCCAGTCTCCTGTAAAACAAAAAAACCAAAACAAAACTTTTCAAGAAACATTTTTGTTCAGCCTTGGTAACAAGTTTGGAATGCAAGGAACAAAATGTTAGATATGATGACGTGTACTAACTGTTCACAGCTGTTGCTTATAACTTTTCAGTCATTTCAGGTTTCAGAATAACCTCATTGTCCTGATCCCAGTAGATTACCTACCTACCTACGAGATAGATAGGGAATGTTCATCTATATTTCCATATACTTACACCATTCCTTCTAGAACAACCTGAAATGTTATCTATCATCTTCCTCATCACTTTTACCTTCCACATCATCACCAGTGACCATCATCTTGACATCTCCCAAGGGCTCCAACTCCTTCTCCTACCGCACCTAGGTTAAGATGCCACTTTTATAATATGTTACCCTGACGTTGTTGTATTTGATGCATATTCTGTAGGATGTTTCCTTTGCTCTTTATTTGTATTTTCTCACCTTACTAACGGTAAAGTGTCTTTTTCATGTAGGTCAGAACATCATCTCAGCTTATTTTCATAGACATCAGTTCATTACCATGTCCTCTTTTATGGTTATGTATCACATTTGTTATTTCTGTCCTATACAGTTATTAGGTCTGGTCTTAACTAGTGATTTGGGGGTTTTCCAAGTAGTGGTGTACCTGTTAAGTTTCAGGGTTTTCATGGAAGCCACTATGACATTGAAGGTTGCTTTAGGTAGGTGAAAGGTCCTGAATATAGGATTGTGACGGGGCGAACAGGCCCCGCACTGCAGGGCCGGGAGTAGCCCAGGCCCAGCTGGCGGAGAGGGCCCCGCCCTTCCGGCCCTGCTGGGCATGCTCCCAGCAGAGGCCAGGTATAAAGGCAGAGGGAGCCCAGCAGGCAGGAGGACAGCTGGGGGAGGGAGGAGGCCAGGCCAGGCCAGTGTTTTTGCAGCCGCTGGGACCAGAGCCAGTGCCAGTGCTGGACCCTGACACCAAGGAAGCGGACCCCAACTCTGGGCGACTGGAACGTACCCACAACCCCAGCAGGTCCTGCCTCAGAGGCCAATGGGCCCCCGGGGAACCGGGGCGCGGTAGGAAGCAGCCCAGGGCAAGGGAGACATAGTTTGGCTTGGCGTGTTTCGGCCGGATCCCCCGCCGAGCCGGCAGGGGCCCCAGCCCCTGCCTACAAGGGGGAGAGGGAGGGCCCGGGTCCCCCTACCACGCAGGCCCCCCCCGGATAACCAGGCTTGGGGCCAGGAGAGGCGCCTCAGAGGGACTAGGCCTTTGATACCGTATATCCCCTGATAGAGGGGCCTGGACTTTGTGTTGGGACATTGGATACTATATATCCCCGGATAGAGGGGCCTGGACTTTGTGTTGGGACATTGGATACCGTATATCCCCGGATAGCGGGGCCTGAACTTTTGGGGACTTTGGGGTTCGGTATAGGCCCGGACTGAGACGCGGGTCAGTATAAGGGGGTCAGCAGCCCCCATCAGGGGTGTATCCCCTGACAAGGATCTATAGGTCATTAGGGACCAAATGCTAAATATGAGTCAATGATGAGGACTAATTTAACTTTAACCACTTGAGAGAGATCTTGGAGTCATTGTGGATGGTTCTCTGAAAAATCCAATCAATATGCAGCAGCAGCCAAAAGAGCAAACAGAATGTTAGGAATTATGAAAAAAGAGACAGAGAATAAGACCGAGAATATCATATTGCCTCTATATAAAACCATGGTACACCCACATCTTGAATACTGCGTATGGATGTGGTTGTCTCATCTCAAAAAAGAAAAATTGGCATTTTAAAAGGTTCAGGAAGGGGCAACAAAAATTATTACGGATATGGAATGGATCCCATATTGAAGAGAGATTAAAAAGACTGGGACTTTTCATCTTAAAAAAAGAGGAAAACACGGGGGAATATAATCGAGGTCTATAAAATCATAGCCAGTGTGGAGAAAATGAATAAGGAAAAGTTATTTACTTGTTCCCATAATATAAGAACCAGGGTCACCAAATGATGTTAATGGATAGCAGGTTCAAAACAAACCAAAGGAAGTATTTATTTCCACAACACACAGTCAACCTGTGGAACTCCTAGCCAGAGGATATTGTGAAGACCAGGACTTTAACAGGGTTCAAAAATAACTCAGATAAATTAATGGAGGGTAGGCCCATCAATGCTTATTAACCAGGATGGATAAGAATGGTGCCCTTAGACTCTTTTTCAGAGTCTGGGAATGCGTGATAGGAGGGACGATTTGATGATTCCCTGTTCTGTTCACTCCCTCTTGGGCATCTGGCACTGGCCCCTGTTGGAAGACAGGATACTGGGCTAGATGGACCTTTGGTCTGACCCAGTATGGCCATTTCTATTTTCTTAAATAGAGGTTCCCAAATATTTCAATACAAAACCACACTAGTTTTGATAAAATAACATATTTATTGAGTACAAAAAAGAAAGTTTTTAAGTAATTAATTAAAGGTCAAAATTGGATACAAAGACAGACAAGTTAAAATGCATCAAATAGTTCACCTCAAACTAAACGAATTGAAAGCAAAGATATATATCACCACCTGCTTTTGCAGTCTTAACAGGTGGATGCCTTTCAGCCCAAAGCTTCCCCCAGTCCAGTGGGCCTTTTTATCCCCTTCAAATGGTGTTGATGCCATGAGCAAAGAGAAAAAGAGGTTTCTCCTCTTATAGGCTGTGTCTAGACTACACCTCTCTGTCAACAGAGAGCTGTAGATTAGGCACGTCAAAATGGCTAATGAAGCAGGGATTTAAATATCCCATGCTTCATTAGCATAAACATGGCTGCCGCTCTTTTTTGAAATGGCGCTTTTTCGAAAAAAAAACCCCAAAACAAAACAGCAGTCTAGATGGGGATCTGTCGAAAAATAAACCCTTTTTTGAAAGATCCTGTATTTCTCAAAAAAATGAGGTTTATAAGATCTTTCAAAAAAAGGTTTATTTTTCAACAGATCTCCATTTAGACAGCTTTTTCGAAAAAAACTAGCACTGTTTTGAAAAAAAAAGCAGTGGCCATTTTTATGCTAATGAAGCACCGGATATTTAAATCCCTTCTTCATTAGCAATTTTGACATGCCTAATCTACATCTCTCTGTTGACAGGGAGGTATAGACTAGATGTACTCATAGTCATAGTTCTCTTTCACAAAAATCATCTCCAGCTGACACTTTTTCCTTCCCCAGAATGACCTCTTAACCAGGTGATAGCCCATTTGATTGTGTTGACAGATAGCAAGTGGAAATATAGCCATATAAAAAAGCCAGGTTAGTGAGAAGAAAGCACACAAGAGTGTAAAGCTGAAAATTGATGACAATTAATGTGACAATACTAAAGTTACCCAAAATGCTGACATCACATATAAAAAACACATGAAAAGGGTAATCTAAAACTCTGAACAATTGGTTAATCTAGAGGGGAAAAAATATTCCAGTCATTTTTTTGGTGAATGGATATTTGGGTTTTGCCTCTGAGGAACTTGTATATTCCTGCTTTTCTAAACTCAAAATAGCTCAATAATGTCAGAGACTGGAATCTTATAATCTTACATGAAATGTTGTACACGCATTTTGCCAGGACAATGATGATCAGCGAATTATGAGCTTTCAAATGATACTTCACAAGGCATGATTTGTACAAATCATGTATCCTAGTCTTGATAAGGGGGTTCACACAAGGGTACTGATTTTCACATTGTATAAATAATAATTTTTCCATCCTATTTGCTTGTGGTTTCTGTCTTTAAGAAGTAGCAACTAGGCTGAAGGTAAAGGAATCTGTCACAACACCCTGACATCTGAGAATGTAGCAGGAAGATGACCTTTGCATGTAATGTGCAGAATATCTTCAAAAAAAGGAATTTGCCCTGTTCCTTTGAATAGTTCAAAGGTCAGTATTGGAGATTATGGGAGATCTCCCCAGTTCATTGTGAGACATACGTGGTGAATCTGAGGAATGTGGCATTACTGAATAGAATGTGGCAAGGGTTGCCACTCTCTTAAATATATATTTTACATCCCTGTTGCTCTGTTGACATGAAAAGAACGATTTTCTAGCAGATACAGTATTAGCCTAGCGCACTGTAATTCAGGGCTTTGCCTTAGCTCTTCATGTGTAAAATGGAAATAATACTGTACTTCCTAACACAGAAGTGGTGTCAATAAATACAATACAGATTTAGAAGTGCTCAGAGATATTATGCTGATGAGGACCCTATAAAGACCAATACACATTTATGAACCCTATTATAAGGCTGGAAACTATGATGACTCCCAGACAGAGATGGACACAGGGAGACAGAAAGATTTTAAGATCCACATTTTCATATTTGAGTATACATACTCTGAGCTAGTGAATGCTTTAAAGAATTGGGTTTGTTTAGTTTAGAAAAGAGAAGATTGAGGAGGGACATAATAGCAGTTTTCAGGTATCTAAAAGGGTGTCATAAGGAGGAGGGAGAAAACTTGTTCATCTTGGCCTGTGAGGATAGAACAAGAAGCAATGGGCTTAAACTGCAGCAAGGGAGGTTTAGGTTGGACATTAGGAAAAAGTTCCTAACTATCAGGGTGGTCAAACACTGGAATAAATTGCCCAGGGAGGTTGTGGAATCTCCATCTCTGGAGATATTTAAGAGTAGGTTAGATAAATGTCTATCAGGGATGGTCTAGACAGTACTTGGTCCTGTCATGAGGGCAGGGGACTGGCCTCGATGACCTCTCGAGGTCCCTTCCAGTCCTAGTATTCTATGATTAAAATGCTGCTTCTAAATAGCTGGAATGAGAAGAGGCAATTATATATTGTACAAGCCGAATTATTTTTTTAAAATTTCAAACCATTCCTGCACAGCCCGTTATTCTCATTGTCAACATTCGGTGCAGTGACCAAGACACAAAGGTGTCTAGTGAATGGGTGAATTTCTTCTGGACTCTTCCATTATTGTCAAAAACAAAGAGATTGTGTTTCATCATGGATCTGTCTCAAGACTGGCCTACACAAATACAGTCTGGTGATCTCTGTTACAAATACTTCAGTTGTGTAGCTCTCCAATACACTTAACATGGTCAGGCCAGGTCTGCACTGGCAGAGAATTTCATTGTAAGATACGCAATTCCAGTTACAACAACTGTGTAGTGGGAGTCGACATATCTTACATCAATTTTCTGGGGTGGCACCACTGCAGAATGTCAATGGGAAAAATGCTCCTGTGAACTTTCCTTAGTCCTTGTGACTGCAAGGAGTACCGCAGTCGACAGGGGCCCCATCAGCCTTTTGGCTTAATGGATCTTTACTAGACCCATTAAATAGAATTCTGGAAGATCAACTTCTGCATTGTCAATCTCTGAGGCAGTGAAAATAAGGTATAAGGACTAGCATAACTTAGATCAACTTACAGCATAAGCGTAGACTAGCCCCAAGAAATATACAGGAAAGATCAAAGCCTATTGTCCTGTTCAGCAACATGGAAAACCCACTTCACAAAGCTTCTCATGGAGTGGGGTGTTAACTGTGTCCTCCATGTCCCACAAGAGTGCTCTAAACACTTCATTAAAGTGTACAATGGAAGCTGCACCATCACCGCCTCTTGCACTTCTATCCATCTCGTGAGTCTGGTCTTTCATTGCCTTTGTTTTGACACTGAAAAGTGCCAAGAAAGGGAGGAAATGTTCCATTTTTGGTCTTGTTAAATGCTTCCTTGAAGCCCAAAGAAAATTTTGGTCAGTATTTTCTATTGGGTGTACATTTAGGGAATTTTCAGATTTGAATCGTGTTGAGCTGAGTGTTTTAAGCACCCTCCTGAATGCCATAATCAATGATCAGTCCAGCTCGGTCAATTTCTCTATCTCAGTCCCCAGAGCTGTACAGTTCCCAGAATCCCTACTCTTCGGAGTCCATAATACCAAGAGCAAGAACTCCGTGAACACGCTGATGTATAATTAGCTAGTGCCTGACATAGCTTTATCTTTTGCTTCAATGTATGTTGTAGAGAAACACACTTTTCTTGCTGTTTTGTACCCGCTTTAGTGTGGACAGTCACAGAAGAAGTGCACACGCCGTGCTCTCTCTTGGAAACTATGCCCTTGCTCTTTCTAATGTTGTTGTTCCCTCAACTTAAAATAAAGATCATTGTGATGGAAATTTCCTTCCTCCACCTCCTCCATAAACACAAACCCAGGAGACAATCTCTACATCTTCCCAGCACACTTAAAGGGCTGCAGAGTATCAGGAGGGTGTTCAAAATTCCCTTCGCTTTAGACATAGAAATCACACACTTCATAATTGCAAATGCGTAAGGAAACCCACCCTGCCATAAAGAGGGAGGCACATTAAATCTGCCCCATCTCTGCCAGTATAAACAACTCCGTGCTTTCAAAGCACATCACGTATATTTTTATGCTCAGACATGCGAAACAGGTGCCTCCTTAAATTTTGCTGTTGCAGAATGCTAAGGAAACCCTGATCACAGATTGAGCCTGCAAGTTCTTTTGGAATACAAATAAATCATTAATAATAACTATATACTAATGCAGAATTGTTCCATGAGCTCAGAGAAAATACATTGCAGAGGGTGGGGAATTGAATTCCATTCCTCATTACTAAATCAGCACTGAGTTGAACAGATTCAGCTAATGGTTAGGAGTTTTTTCATTGCTTTCCTCAGAGCATCCTTCACCTCTGTGTTCCTCAGGCTGTAGATGAGGGGGTTCAAAAAAGGGATCACCAGTGTGTAGAACACGGAGGCTATTTTGTCTACGTCCATGGAATAGCTGGAGGTGGGTCGTAAATACGTAAATAGGAGACTGCCATAAAATATGACCACCGCAATCAAGTGGAAAGTGCAGGTGGAGAAGGCTTTGCGTCGGCCCTCGGCAGAGCGGATCTGCAGGATCGTGGAGAAGATATAGACATAGGACAGGAGAATGGTCACACCGCTGTTCAGAGTAATGAAGCACGTGAAGGCAAACATCACGATCTCATTGATGCGGGTGTCAGAGCAGGAGAGCGCCAGCAGCGGGGGCATGTCACAGAAGAAATGATTGATGATGCTGGAGCCGCAGAATGATAGCCTGAATGTCAGACACGTGTGTGTCATAGAATCTACCAAGCCCACCACATACACCCCAGCCAGCAGCAGGTTACAACGCTGTCTGGACATGGTGACCATATAGAGCAGCGGGTTACAGATGGCCATATAACGGTCATACGCCATCACAGCCAGCAAGAAACACTCAATATCTTGAAAAGCGATAAAGAAATACATTTGCACAGCACAGGCAGTGTGAGAAATGCTTTTCTGCTCAGCTAAGAAAATTTGCAGCATCTTAGGGGCAATTACTGAGGGATAGCAGAGATCACAGAAAGACAAATTCCCAAGGAAAAAGTACATGGGGGTGTGGAGTCGGGGGTCACTCATAATTAACAAGATCATTCCCCCATTTCCCACCAGAGTGAGAACATAAATCAGGAGGAACACCCAAAACAGGGGGAGCTGCAGCTCTGGACGATCTGTGAGTCCTGAGAGAATGAACTCAGTCACCACCGAGTGATTTCCCTCTTCCATCTCCTCTGAGTCGAGATCAGGCAGCTACAGGGATGTGGACAGGTCGATTTCAACAGGCAACCTGCTCCTTGTCTGTAATGAAGAATGTGAAGGAAAATGGAAGTCACTTTCTTAATGCACACCAGTGCCAGACCAGGGAATGACATTGACCAGCTGTGAACACCTGGCATTGTAGACTTTCTCATTGTTCCATACAGTGTGCACACTGTACACAGACATTGATACACCGGTTAGTCCTGCTCCCCGTATGAACACTGCTGTTCACTAAGCAAAGCAGCGAACAGAGACTTGTGACACTGAGGTGATACAATCAGGGGGAAAACCATCAGACTCCAAAGAGATTATTCCTAAATTCAAGAAAAGCTTGAGAGTAAATGAGTTTCAATCTCTCTGGCCCCTTTGGGCAAGGGAAGCTCTGTGCCTCAGCACATCTGTTTGGGCTTAATCTTGTTCACTGTGCTAATTAAGCTTTTTTGG